TTAGTAACTTGTAAGTAAAAACTTCTATGTAAAAATGTTGATAAGCATCATGATTTTTTTAGTTCCCTGAACACCAGAAATGATTTCTGAGTGCATTAAAAACGTTTCCAAATTCCTTCTTGAGGAGCGGCCTCCAAGGCACTGCCCACCTTTTTGCTTGAAGGTTTAAGTCTCCCTTTATTGACTTTACAATGAATTCTACCTTATTTCTGAAAGGCCTACAGGTCTTGATTGAACTCCCTCATCAAGGGCACAAAGAATCAAGACCCAAGGAAGTAAGGATCTGATTCCTCACTACAATAGGACCTGGCTTCCCAGTAACCACTCTATTTTGGTTTGGTTCCATCTATCGGGGCATTGTGCAAAAGCTGTGTCCAATAAAACTTCTCCCCTTACTTGTGTTTATCCCTTTGAACACTTGTCTAAAACCTTTGAGAGAACAGAGTCCACCAAGGGGATAGCAATAAGGACTTTTGAGAGGCTAATACCAAGAATTAGTGTAAGCTTTTTAGTCAGCCAAGGTCTTCACAACCGTAGGCAGCTAAAACAAAAGAAAACTAAGCATTATGAGACAGGTAAGACTACAAATAGTCTCTGAAATCAGAGATCAGTTAGTAGAGTGGTTTTTACATTTGAGATCAAAATGTATTTTCTCAGTTTGTAGTTTGAATGTCTCTGATTATGGCACTGGATATTTTAGTCTCTCTAGGGGCTCATACAGCACATTTGAGTGTTATCCTCTGAAATTCACAACAGATTTATCTCTAGCTTGTGGAGTTTGAAGAATAGGGCAACTTATAAGTAGTAAACATATTAAGAACAATAAGTAGTACTAGCATCTGATATTTACAAGATAACTGAATTTTCTACAGAGATATAATTTCTATGTTTACCTTGAGCTTTATCAAAGCTAATCATAGTGAGCCTATTTGTTTCAAAATACATCATTGACTTAATTATTCTCATAAGTGTGGCAAGAACATTAGTTGCTCTTAGAGTATTTTTTCAAGTCTATTTCTAAGGAATTTCAAATTAGACTTTAAAATGCTATCCAGCCTAGGAATCGCTTAGCAGGAATTGCCACTAGACTTTACCAGCAATACTTACAGATTTGGTTGCATTTTTTTTTTAGATTTTAGAATCTTTCTTCAATAAGACCAGCAAGACCTTAAAGCCAAACACCAGGCTATCTACACTTTGATATTGTAACCAATTTTTCTTACTATGTCTTGAATTTTAAAAAGAACCAATTTTTCACTGGATTCGTGAAAGCAGCTATGTTGCCATGCAAAAGAGATCCCTCACAAATACTTTCTGAATTTTAGTGAGATCAGGGAAAGAGTAAAGGCTTCAATTTTGATGATTAATATGTATCTTATCAAATTTCTCTAAGTTATAGGTAATTTAAGAAAATAAAGTTAAGTTTTCTGAAGTCTAGAAAATAACATCAAATGATAAGAAATTTTAAACCCATAAAAATGTATTATTTAACAGTTTATTCTATTCTATTTAATTAATTCTTGTTCTACTTGATGTGGGATTCCCAGTTTTATAAGCCAATCAGTATTTTCATAAGAATTCTAGAAACTCATAACAAGTCTCATTGTATGATCTTAAAGCTTTCAGAAACCTGTACACATCAGAATTCTTTCTATGAAACATGAGGAACTACCCAGACAATGCTCCTTGAAAGAAGAGCAATTCTCTCCATTTTAGATAAACTTGGAACTATCTCCATGTATTGCATTGACATGTACAGAGCCGGTTAAGCTATTTCTTTGTCCTTTCAATTGACTTTAAGCAACATAAATGGGGTTGGCTGTGGAACTGATGTGTAATCTTTGAAAAAAGGTGACAGTCATTGTTTCCCCACCCAGTGACTCCCAGAAAAACATAGTCGAGCGGGGCAGGATGAAGAGCCGTGTTCCGTGCTGTCAGGTGGGACTGAGCCTCAAGACAGAAGCTATGACTTCCCAGAAAAACAAGAGTGTACATCAAAGCTGAAGCACTGACCCCAAAAATGTTAGATACTACCTCAGCTGTGTTATCAGATTAGTCCCTCTTCATATCACAGGTTATTTCAGGCCTCTTACCTAGCCCAGTTCACAGCAACCACATTATTCCCACCATAGTCACTGTCACTCATCCCCAAGCCACTCCTCTCATGGGGAATTAATAAATCCAGGGTTAGGCCCTGGGTTGTGGCCTTTGTTCCCATGAACCATCATCTTGGCTGGACTTAGGACCCCCTTGGCTCCTCATAACTCTGTGTCTGTGTGTGTGTGTGTGTCTTAGTGTCTTTCTTCTCATCTTGGGTTGCAATGAAAGTGATGGACTAGAATTAATTCAGTAGTATTCCAAAAACTTCTCCATGGGATTACAAATATAAACCTTCCAGACTGAGACAAGATCTGAGAAAGGACTTCCTATAATGAAATGCTTGAAGAAAAAACATCATAGGTTTATAATTTTTTGCAATAGCTCTTAGTAACAAAATAAGATAATTAATGGTCTGTGAAAAATAAGCCTTAAAAGTCAAGGTTAAAAGTCTGGGGAAAGCTCACCCTAATATATTTGACAAGGAAATCTGATCATCTATATGCCCTAAAGTATTTAAAAATTATGACTATTTACACTGCAAAAACATAGTTTTAGGAAATGTTATATAATTCTGGGATATCAGGGATCTGGCCGAGATCCCCAACTGCCTGTATAAGGGGTTCAGTGAAAGGATGAAATAAGAACACAGTTGAATTTAGCTGTGCATGATGGCAGGCTGGGAGGTCAATGCCAAGATACTCCAAACCAGACACTATTTATTAAGTATATACAATATAGGAGGGCTCACAGAAGATTCCAGATCAGTGGATGATTCAGAGGTGGATGATTCAGCAGGCAACCGATGATCCTGGGATGACTCAAGGGGACGAAGATGATATTATGCTAAGGAGGAGCTTTCCCTGAAGTGTTCTTTTTAATCTTGGTAGTTTCAACTCAGTCTTAGCAGGTGGGAGAAGATGGCTCATCCCAAAAAAGTTAATGGGAAGTCTCAGAAGTATGACACTATAATCCCAAACCTCCGTTTATCTCTTATGGAGTATGTAAAATTAGCCATTGTGAATTTGTGGTCCCCAATACTGGAACACTGATGTATTTTGTTTTATTTGTTCATTTCTTGACTGCTGTGGATTGAATCTAAAACCTTTACCTACTCTATTATTATTTAATATTTTTCATGATGCTGTCCCACTAAATTGTCCAGAGTGGACTTGAATTTGTGATCCTCCTGCCTGAGCCTGTCAGAATGCTGAGATTCTTGGTGTGTACTCTGTACCTGGCTGGTACACATGTAAAAACATATCTACAAGGTACAAAAGTTATTTCTTACTTTATATTTTTTCCATACAAATTTGACGTGTCAAATAGTTCTATTTAGCTTATCATCTGTCTTTTACAAAAAAATGAGAATATATCCTTTTGGTATATTTCAAAGTGTGAAAAATATTTGGAATTTGATTTGGTGAACTTGTCAGAAATGTCACAAGTTAAATAGGACCATATGTCACTGTGAAACAATACCAACATGACAAAAGAAAAATTTTAAGGTAAATAAAGCAAGTTACACAGAAAGGGAGAAAATTAGTTGCTTTGAAAATAAAGACAATTCACTTTTCTTTAGTGATCCAAGGGTAGTAGAACACAACACAATGCACAAGCAATTATATAAATAAAACCACAAAATCTTTGTCTCCTAAGTGAATTACTTAAAAGACAGAGAAAAACTTCTACCTTTTTCAAATCAATACTTCAACACAACTTTGTCATTTTGACAGAAAATTAGCTTGTAGCTTTCTACTAATATATTTTAGATACAGTCTGAAAAGAAATAAAGAATACAGTGTATATAGAGATCACTTTTATGCAAAAAAATGAATAAAAGATAAAGCAAAATGTAAATAGTGGCAATCACTATTGAGAATGTCTTCCTTGTCAGGATATTGCTAATGCATTCAATTATTCTACAATTTAAAAACTCTCTTTATAGAAAATGTTAATTTACATTAATGAGTACAATTTATAATTTTAACCAGTGTTGTCACTGATAATATAATAGGTAGTTACGAGCTCAATTCATGCGGCGTGAAGAACTGCTTCCCACAGAGCATGACAATGAAAGCTCTACAAATCCAAAATCATTTATTCATGTATTCAAAAAGAATACTTTTGTCTTTTCTCCCCATATCAACTTTCTCTCAAAAAGTTCCCAAATAGATTTGATGAGCCCATCAAATAGGTGAATTCAAAAAGGAACAGAAATTCCATGCAAGGAATCCCGATGAACAAACAGACACCACCCCCACATCACCAAATGCACGAACATGGACCATGTGTAAGTCCCTTCCCTAGTCGTATGTCAATGATTTTGAGTAAGTACTCTGCTTATTCTCTGCCTAGTACAAGGAGTACTGCATCTCTACATGTCCTGAGATATTTTAATCTGGAAAATTAATCCAGTCTTCTCTGAGGAAGCAAAGACTCTACATAGAAAACTGTCAATAATTTTTGAGTCTAAAGTGAACAGATTTTTGTGTCTAGAAAGATGGAGTTTATGTACTTTGCCCTATTCCTCCCACTAACTGTGATTCAAACCCACCTTACACGGAAACCAAACATGAGAAGACCCTGAAAACCAGAGGGAAGAAAGCAAATGGGAAAGAAATGTTCAGATGATGCATTTTCTAGGTGTTCTTTTGGTTTTATAATTCAGAGTTGTAGCTAAAGAAACCAGCAATACAGAAATGTTAACAGACTCAAGTGAAAAACATCTCAAAAATGAAAAATATCTCAAAAAACACGCCAGTTTCCATTGAAATGGGGAGGGAACAATCAGGCAAGGCAGAAAATGCTTAGGCAATAACACCTCTACCGTTGTCCAGTGCCATGGAAGAGGAGCTCAAACTCCTCTCGTTATATCAAACTTCTCTTTTGGTTGTCAGAAATCACTTACCTGAGATACCATGATCATGAAGGTGGTTTCCCCAGCGTGAGGTTCATCCATCGCACTCCAGATATGCTGACCCCTGTGATTTTCCAAAATGTGAGGCACACAAAACCATAGTTTATGATACTGAGGGAATGTGTTCGTGCCTTCCTGTGTTAAAAATAAAAAAATCAGTTGTCCTTCCAGAGCTGGGAAAACCTCAACTTGAATGAAAAACACAATCAGTAGAGGCCAGAACAAAAATGTTAGAAACCCTAGAGGCCAGAACAAAAATGTTAGAAACCCTAGAACTGTCTAACAAACAGTTTTAAAGGAGTCAGGATGGCTGAGCAATTGCAAACAAGACTGAAATAGCTGAAACAAATAATCTCAGCAAAGAAATTAAAATGCATACAACAAGCACATAGAAATTTTAGAACTGAAAATTATAACTTCACTTAAAAGATAAAAATTCAACAGGTAAACACACCATAGGAAAATACATTAGTAAACATGGAGGTAAAAAACACAAGTTACTCAATCTGAGTCATATAAACAAAATAGAAAATAAATTTAACAGACGTGTCAATTCTAGATTTATCTTTCAAAATAAAAAGCCTGTACTAAAGAGAACAAAGAGATCTTCACAGCAGACTTATTTTTATAAATAAAGACTTTGAAACACCAAGAAATAAAGAATAAAGGGAAGAAGGGAAATGTGAACAAATGAAATACTTTCTATTTCCTCTTTATTATCCTAAGTATGTTGAACAGTGAATGTGCCATGTTCTCTCATGTAGCTCCATGTGTACAAAGAAAAATATTAAATCAATTGCATTATAAACACAGGATAGTGAAGGGACAATGAGAGGAATGAAATTTCTACATCACTTACAGTGGCAAAACGTTGCCTTGTTAGATGGTCCTAATATATATGCAGTGGAAAACCTACACCATTCCCGAAAAGGTCTATACAAATAAAATGGACTTGCAAGATAATTTTTAAAGTTGCATACAGCATTGAAAATAAAGAAAACTGGGGAAAAAGTAAGCAAAAAGCACAAGATAAAATGGCACATTTATGCCCCACATACCAATAATTGCACTAATGTAAACATCCCAAAGTAAAGCAAATGGTTAAAAGTTGGGAATTTTCAGTTTACAGAAACAGAATACATTGGACTATTATCAAAATTTACTAGATATATAGATAGAATACATATATATAAGATACTTACACATTTTACTTTACAAAATTAATTTGTGGTACAGCCTAGTTTTGTACAATTAATAACACTGTATAAAATGTACACATATTGCCAATAACCTGTGTAAGGCTCTCAGCACAGTCTTTTCCCCAAAACGGGAGTCTTCACTGGAAAGAACCCTCCAGAGGACAGGCGCTGGGCAGAGCTGCCCTCGGCTGCTCCCAGTACACACACAGGGCCATCGCAGGGCCTTGCTCTTCCTGATACCTACACTGTTCTTAGGGGAACTCATCTAACTGGTGGCTTCAACTGCCACCACGATCATCCATTTGCATAGCTAACATACGCCACAGTTTCCTTCAACCGAAATGGTTATTCTCTAAATGGCCACTTTTACATGATTCACTCAGACTTGAAATACAACTTTTTCCATGCTGCATACACACTTATGAAGGCCTATGGAGCCCGTTCACTCCTTTTCCTGGCTAAATATGAAGAACCATCCTAATGATCCACGCTAAAAATTCATGCTAAAGTCTGCTTGAAATAAAAAAAAATGGGGAAGAATGGAAAGTAACTAGCACAACACAGAGAGTCTCATCCTCTCAAAAGAGATTGAGGAAGCCTTGGAACTACTTTCGATTCAGTAGAAAAGCCCTGAGGCAAAGACTGTGGCTGAGCCAAAATAAAGAATCCTACCCTCTGAGGTGCTCTCTTATGAGCTCCTCTAAGACTGAGGGATTTGTGGCATGTCATATAGGAATCGCTGGAGACGGCAGAGGGTTTCTCCCTGAGGCTAGTCAAAAAGTTAAAAATTGTGTAAATGAGTGGCCTAATCACTGGTGGATTGTTTCCTGAAATACATTGAAGAGCAAAAGGAAACTTTTAAGCTGATTTGGTATAACTGACTCATTTTGGAAGAAGCTGAGTTCCTAAGGAGTGGACAGCAACACAACTATGATGAGAACTTTGATTTGCTTTGCTGCCCACTCCACACCCACACATCACTCAAGTATTTATCTTAACTTAAAAACAGTGGCAACTTCAAAGAATATTTCTGCCACTGGAGTTTATCACCTACACTATTGTACATGTATATCCCAAAGCACAAATGTTAGCGATCCCAACTATTTTATATAAATTCATACATACTATTTGCAAAACTCTACTATGATCATAAAAAAAGAGCCTTGGTAACTGTTTTCACCTCTTATGAATCAAACTGAGTCAAGAGAAATTAAAATGTCTATCTTGTTAGCAATTTGATTATAGTTTCCAAAAAATTCATACTTCCTAGTTTCTAGCACCAGAGTCTATGTTAAATCCCACAGTCAAGGACAATTAAGGCCGCTAATCAATTTGGTTTAAAGCAGAGAGATCATCACAGACTGTGCAGGCTGCCCAAGGTAATTACAAGGACCTTAAATGTATATGGGGATGCACAGGAGCAAATGCCAGGGTGGTGAGCTGGGAAGGGAGAATGAACTGGTCATTGGTGCTCCTGAAGACAGCAGAGAACCAAAGAATGTGAGCCAGAAAGTGAGAGTCTTCCCTAGAGCCTGCACAAGGGAGCTCAGCCCCGACACATGGATTCAACCCCCGAGAACATATTTGACATTGAAGCTACAATACCACATGGTAATAATTCAGGCATTTTTAGGCAGTGCAATTTTTGGTGAAGTTTATAACTGCAATAGAAAACCGAATATACTTCACATAATTTCATTCCCAGATTTCTTGTTGCCCTGGAAATGTTGGGTCATGTTTATAAAGTAACAGAAACATAAAATTATTGTGGGTGTTAGTACCAGGCAGCTAAGCAAGCTCTTCCCTCCAAATAAAGCCATTCTAAAAATGCAATTTCGATGAATATTCATTGTGACCATAGTAAAAGAAAACAGAAATGTTTCTCTCCCATCTGTCTACAGCTCACTCCAAAGGCTTCCTTGCTATTTCTCCTCAGCATTTTTAAACCATTTTCTGTGATTAAATAGTCACTTGTAGCAGAGTGGCTGGTAAGCCACTTTAGAAGCTCAGAATCTTCTTAGAAAGTGGTGATCATCTCAGCTCATGGAGAATTTGCTTCCTTTTCTAAATGAAAGAAAAGAACATCACAAGTCATAAAGGTAAACAGAACTTAGGACTTAAAAGGGCAGCTCCGTCTTTACTCACTAATCACTGTGAAATTGGACACAGGAATTAATTTCTCTAGGTGTTTCTCTAACCTCCCTCCCCGTCCCTGTGCCTTCTAAGGAGATTTACACCCCGTGCAAACATCCGTCTTTCTGGAGAAAGAAATTGCTCTAAGGGCTTGTGCAAAAGCTGAGAGGGAGGTGAAGTATTAGAGCTGGACTTCCTGATTCAGGGGCCTGGCTTTGGAGTTTGGAACTCAGTTATATGCTCTATTGACTAGAAAACCTGACAGCTTTGTTTTAGCCTCTCCCTCAGGTAAGATTCCATGGACCTGGGTGGAATCTGTATCCTGGAAAGACAGGAAGAAAGGAACCTCAGAAAACTCAAGGGAAAGATCCCATGTCTGTTTGGTTGCCAAAACATAACACAGCCAGAAGGTCTTCACAGATAAATGTCAGGAAGGAAAGACGTTGACTTTAACCTCCTGATTAGATTGTAGAGGTGATCTTAACACCTGGAGACTGTGAAGTTGGGAAACTTTTTCAGTGGGTTAAAGTCAGTATCAAACAAGTGCCTCTCTCTAGGACAACAGGCATGGAGAGAAGAATTTACAGAGGTGCAGTGAGATGGTTTCCATTTATTTCCACTAAGCGACTAACTTACACCAATAGCTTTCCCCAGTAAATACTGGATTTGTGAATTCACAGCAGTAACACTTTCCATTTCCCACCCTCAAGGTATTTTGCCAGAGTTAAACTCCTGCCACCGGAAGTGGGCACTCAGGAGAAAGATTTGGTGAAAGGTTTGTCTCCCCTCATTCTCAGAAGTTCCTAACAGCAGCCCTTGAACTTCACATATGGTCAAGTGCTTCTACCTGGTCAAGTGAGTTCTCTGTTCTCCCCAACAGTACTCCCAGCTAACTGAGCACAGTACCTCAATGAGAGGGTTATAAAACAGGACAAAGCACCCGAGTCCCATTTCTTGAGTCTGTCTGAAAAAGACTGTAAAGACAAAGTCCCTCAAAGACCAAGAAAACAGAAAAGATGAGTTGATCTTTAGCCTTACCTGTTCTTCCACTTTAAGCTTTTTGATCAGACTGTTGTGGCATTTGAGGAATACAATTGGATATATTTCATAATGAAAATTATGCAGTGTCCAGGGAAGTTTCTCCTCTTAGTGAAAACAAACTTTTTAATTCATTGTCATTGCCATAATCAGAATCCACATGCTGAGTGGGGCCCAATACACTAGTGGAAATGACCTGATGGCTTGAGCGTGAAGCTTCTTCTTGTTCTTGTAGTGAAACACGAAAAAGCACTGGTGTGTGTAGGTGGAGGACTAGGAATTTACAAACCTAACAGGTCATTACTGCTGGGGTTATTGGTAGGGTACAGCAGTGAGGTAACACATTATACAAGTGAAATATACCTGGGAAGGAGCCAATTAGTGTTAGAGCAAGAATGTTTCAAAAATATTTTAAAATATGTAATTTATTTCTCTTCCTTCACTGAAAAGAAAGTTCTGTCCTTCTCTCTATTTGTTTTTTCTTAGTAAAAGGAAGTCTTTTTTCTCTTCCTAGGACTTGTACATTCAGTAACCTTCTGGCCATCCATGTCAGATCATGATACCCATTGTATTCATACGGTTATTCTCTAATTATTTTATTATGAAATTTTAGGTTTTTTTCATTGCAAGAAGAATATAGTGTTTTTAATATTTATTAGTATCTGCTTGTATTACATTAAAATAGAAAATAATTTTAAATATTGTAGTAAGTAAAAAAAAAAAAGACATAAGCAAGGAGAGGGGTGCAGGATGTAATTTCCATATGTCTG